TGACGAGCTCGGCTTCGAGTGATGGGTCCTACGGGCATTTGAATGCTTGAAGATTGGATGTCCTTGTCAGTTATGGCTAGAAAACAAGGGGTTTAGCCTGATCCCAATGAGAAGAAAAGGAAGAAGAAAGCGACATGAAGGGGCGGAGGAAGAAAAGGAGTTGGCATCGGAGGCCGAAATAGAAGGGGCCGCCGCTGAACATGATTCAGAGAAGACAGTCTCCGAGGAAGCTGTAAGAGATAAGAAAGATGAGATTGCTTCTCTCTTTGCTCAGGAAACTGATGAGAGATTACGGCTATTTGGCGAGGAAGATCTGCGCCCTTACATTCTGAAGCAAGCGAAGCGACTACACTGGGAATTATGGCCGGTGCAACTACTATAACAGATTAACCGTCTTCAACCACCTAACTACTCAGTGTTTTCAACTGCCGCTCAACTGCTTTCAACCGCCGATTCTGAAGATCTATAAATAGAGCCAAATTCTATTTGTAACATTACACTACACTCAAGTATTCTTACTTCTCTGCAGGTTTTTGTGTTTTCCAATAGCTTCAATCCTATAAGGGAGTTATCTAGATAGAAATGGCCAGAGGCGTCGAGATCATCTCCTCCTCTGGCCGCTCACTTTATTGATTTCTATAATTGTTTACTGCTTCGATTTACAGTTTTGTTAATGTTTTGGTAATGTAGATCTTTACTGTTTTCAATACTTAAATGAGTTATCATGATTTCTTCGTACTCATCTTTACCCCCAATTCATATTTGTGTTTTGACTGATGAACTTAGATTTCTGTTTCTTTGAGAAAGAACAGAAAAGAATCGATTATCTAAGCCTAGATTCGCATCGTATTCATTAACAGAAATTCTATGTAGTTAAGTATGCGGGAGCCTTTTCGACCTTTTTTTTTTTGTTGTTCCTAATTCAATTCTGATTAAAGAGATGTAACAGAAGATTAAAGCCACTAATGAGACAGAAACTAGGATAATTAAAAGGGCATAGGCACTTGTCTATTAGGCCATATGAATGTCTAGTGACAGTAGCATTTTTTGCTTATAATGTTATGATTATGGGCATCATAGAAGTCTTGTTGTCAATCCCTTAAGTTTAAGTATCAACGATTTAGGTTCATGTGTTAATCATTCTGCGGAATTACATTCATTTCTTCTGTTATTATGTGTTATAAATATATGTTTCGCTTATTCACTAACACCATTCACTCATTGCATCCATAAAATTATAGCCATTAAGGAACGTACAAGTCCCACACAACATTATATGATCCTCATCATCGCTTGCATATTATTGTTTACATATCTATATTCCGCTCAGTCTTCATCCGCTTGTTTTCGCCCACCACCGCTCTCTCTACATCAACCGTTCGCGCTTCATCCTCACTACAACTTCCACTAACCGCTTACTTTACTTGCTTAAATTTCAATTGTCTTAGTTTAACATTCCATTGGCTCGCTCACGAGCGAGCCATTTTACCGTTTTCCCATTGCGTTTAACTTAGTATGAAATTATTGATTTAATTCCGTGACTTAAAAGAAATCCATTTGTTCGACCTAAAAACTCACCAATAAAATAAATATAAATAATTATGATAATGCGATCCAGGGTCTACAACTTCGTTTTCATCATCTATATCTGAACATACCCAATAATTCACATTTCATTGTAATTCGCATACATATTTGACTTAAAATTCCTTGTAACTCCCATACATATTTTCGCTTATCACACGTATCCGATGCTATTAGGTAGAAATTGGATATACGTATCCTAACTCATCCCTTCCATGCCCTATTAGCAATTGATATTTTAGAAAGAAGACCAAGTGCTCACGATGGAGGCAAGCCCGAATTCGTTCCAATCAGTTAATACAATAGAAGAGGTAGTATTATATTCATATCACATTTCACCTATTGCACAAATAATATTTATTATTGAATACCTATGAAGGAGATGCAAACTTACCAATCAATGGTATTTGTTCAATTAAAGAAAACATAGTGTATTTTGTGGTTATGCATAACCAAACTTACTAATATCAATATATTTAGTTATGTCAAAGACTACTATGTATGAAATGGATAATTTTATTACTAAGTATTATTATAAACAATTATTGGAACCATTACAAAACTCGTTTGAAAACAAAGGTTTGAATTTTTGTGAAGAAAAAAAAGTTTAGATGGTCTTATTTACTGTAAAAAAAAAAAAAAAATAGAATCATATTTCTCAACCCAAGATTTCTTGGGGGATTACAATGTGAAAACTGTCGAGACTCAAGGAATACCAAATTGTTGGTGTGATCATAAAATTATTGAATTTTCTAGTTTGGGATTATTTTGAAATGTCAGGTTTGGATAGAAATATGATTGAGCACATATTGTCAATCAAAGAAAGATACAAACTATGAAAAATATCGCTAATGCACATTAATCCATAGTTAATGCCCCAAATTAAAGAAGAAATCAAAAAAAAAAAAGTTGAAGGTTGGATTCATTTGGCCATGCAGATATTCCAAATGGTTGGAAAACATCGTTCTTGCTAAAAAAAAAATGAATGGTAAGATATGAATTTGCATTGACTTCAGATATTTAACCTAGACACTCTCAAATATAAATACGCCATGTCCATGGCAGATATGTTGATCCATTCGGCGAAAGGGCACAAGATATTGTCTCTAAAGGATGGTTATGTTGGATATAACAAAAATTTTCTAGCCAAATATAAGATGTGAGTAATACTTTTTTTAGATGCCCTGGTGCATTAGAAATTTACAAATAGACCATTATATACTTCTCAGGCTTAAGAATATTGGAGCAACTTATCAAAGGATTGTGAATGAAATTTTTAATAACCTAATTAGTCATAGTATAAAGGTGTACATTGACGATGTCATTGTCAGATCTGTAAATTTCCACAGACACCTAGTCAATTTGGAGCAAGCTTTGATCCAAATGAGAAAATATAATTTAAAGACAAACTTATATATGTCTGACCATTTAGGTTTCGATCATATCAGTTCCTCCTAGTTGGAGGAAGCTCTGATTCTTCAACAATTTCAAGTTGAGTACGATCTCCCTTGCTAGAGATTCAGCCCTCATGGCGAGTTGAGCCGAAGTAGCAAACTTGCACCTATAATAAAGTTAGAAGAAACCATTGGAAATAAAGTTTTTCTGGGCAAGGTTTTACCTCTTCCAACCTCGGCCTTTTATGAAGCTGAATTAGAGGAATGTTATCATCCTTGGCATGATCCCTAGATGCAAAAGAGAAACTTACATAAGACAAACAATAGCGGTTATCATTATTATTTTTGTAGGCCTCGAAAACTAAAGGATGTATTTTTTTTTTGTGGGTTTGGAAAAATTGGGTTTGGATTTTAGTTTGGTTTAAATTTGAATATCTTTCTAGTTTTAGGAAATTGTTTTCATTTGGTGTAGTAGATTTTGTTTGAGTTTTGTAAGTTTTAATTAATAGTGATTTGATAGGTAATAATTATGTCAAATTAAATAAATTAAATTTTTTTATTAATAATAATATTATTTTAATTATAATATATTATTTTAACCATAAATTTATTATAAAAATAATAAAAAATACTTTACAAAATAAAATCTTTCTATAGTCGCCGCCGCCCCTTCCCTCCATTGTCATTGTCTTTTCTTTTTCTTCTCCCTTCATCTTCTTCCTCCTATATTTTTTTTACAGTGCTCGTACTATCTAACTCAGGCAACAAAGTTATGGATGACTTCATCGGAACCACCAAAAGACAGTGGCAACACAGGTCCTGTTGCTGCTTCATTTGTCTCCGGATGCCGCTAGAACGGGAGGGGATCGTCAGCCCCCAGCCCCCAACCCCCCGTCACAATACAATGTATACATACATTATATATGTATATGTATATGCATGTATATATACATATAGTGTATATATACTTATATATATGTTTAAGTATGTATATAATACATGTATATATACATATATGTGAGAGGGGGGTTGACTATCCCCTCTCCGCTAGAACCTAGCCAACGGCTTCGTTTTTTTTCAGCCATTGTCTGAGAAGATGTAAGGGTGATAATTAATAGTATTACATATAGTTAACACCTAGACTGAAAAATAAAAAATAGGGTGCAGAAATTATCATGATATGTTGGTTTCGCAATTAAATTTTAGAAAATAGTAATCGAACAGTAGATTTGGAAAGAAAACTCCCAAAGAAACACGGCTGAAGATACTCAATTTTAAATCTTCCTATCCAAACGTCATTATTGTTACCTGATGCATTGATTGGTGTTAGACTATTTGAAATTGCAAAAAAGGAGAGCAAATTGTAACACACAAAAAATTGGTCTATGAAATCAGCCAAATTGCTTTAGCTAGTTCTTAACTGCTCATGCACACCTCCTCCTCTATGTCTTGCGGTAATGCTTCCTTTTGCATTACGACCTTTACCACGATGATACTGTTCATAAATCAAATTATTTTGTGGATTTGATTTCACTTGACTTGACTATCTACGGTTCCATTGCGTGTGATCGGGGTAGAAATTTTGTATAAATGTATTGCCATGCTATTAAGTTTTTTTATTTAAATTCTTTTCTTTCTAAAAGATGGATACGAAATTCACAGAATTCAACAAGCAATCGATATTTCACGATCAAGGGTGTAACACTGACAAAAGATATATGGATTCTCGAGAAGAGAAAAGCCGTGGTGGTCCCCGCACCGCCTAGATCCCATTTTTTGGCATTTTCTCTCACAAATTTCTCTAAACTTTTATTTTGGATCATGAATTTAATTTTTTGCACAAACTTTATTTTTTCGTATTTATGTAATAACTTAGAAATTTCCTTCATTAAACTATAAAAAAGTAAAAAAAAAAAAAAAATGTAGTCTAAATTTGACTATTTTGTTATTAGCTTTTCCCATTAAACATTGCTAAAATAATCCATGACGTGACCCGTTTGACTAGCTACCAGTTGTAGATTGGGTTAGCACTAAATTTTAGCCCACCTGTGGTTTGGCTTATTTGTAATTATAGTAGGTTGTCTGTTAAAATACAAAAGCTACAGCAAGCAAACCCTCCCACAAAAGCTACAGCAAGCAAATTCCCTCCCTCTGGTATATTCTCTATGAACTCATTCTTCATCATCAACAGATAGATAAATATGCTATGCTATACAGAATTATTTGTTATAACAAACAAACAAACAAACACCATTCTATTCCTCTTTCTATCTCTCTCTCTCTCTCTCTTCAGCTGCTTTTCCTAGTTTCTTCATAGGAACATTTTTAATCAGAGCAGCGATCCTCAACCCCTCGCCGGAGCCTTTCTACGAACGGCTAACTCTTAGAACCAGCACCGGCGCCGGTGATCTCATACCGTAACGAAAACGGACTACAGCCGTGCGACTTGACTCGACGAATCTGATCTGATCAACAATCGAAGCTTCTTCGGGTCCTATGATGATGGCTGCTCGGTTCGTATTTCTGGGAAGATAGATAGTTCAGAGCCGTAACAATGTCCGCGATCAGCGGTCGCATGCCGGGCTGCTCTTGGACACACATGGCTGCGATCGCTAGAGCTTGGTATAAGCCTCTCGACGGGTACTGCCCCTCCAGCGCCGGATCCGCCATTTGGTGAAATTTTTTACGGTCCTTAAACAACGGCTTCGCCTGCAGAAAATACCATTCGAGTTTTCGGGATTTCAGACAAAACTTGCGATATAGGGAATTCAAACTCCGCGTACTTACCCACGTAACGAGATTTGCTTCCGAGCCAGTTTTTCGATTGTCGATGGCTCTCCTCCCCGTGATGATCTCTAGAAGAACGACGCCAAAGCTGTATATATCCGACTTGAAGGTGAGCTGTCCGGTCATTGCATAATCGGGCGCGCAATATCCATACGTGCCCATCACTCGGGTGGAGACATGTGTCTTATCTCCCGAAGGCCCGACTTTCGCCAAACCGAAATCGGAGAGCTTCGGATGGTATCCTTCCCCGAGCAAAATGTTCGAACATTTCAAATCACGATATATAACCGGTGTCTTCATCTTGTCGTGCAAATACTCTAAGCCTCGAGCTGCACCGGCCGCTATCTTCATCCGTGTGTTCCAATCCAATACTTTTCGGCCGGGTCGAAGGTCTATATGAAGACACAAGGGAAGTAAAATACATCGATACTAACCAACGGTAAATACTATTGACAAACACAACGGCTAGATCGCATACCATAGTTGTTAATCACGGATAGCAGTTCGTAGCCGTTAATATCTAAAATGCTATAGCAGATCAAAGCTAATCAGCTTCAAAATCTTATAAAGAATTTTCTTCCTCATTTTCGTCGTCCTCACTACTTAATTACTCTTGTCTGTGTATTCTTCCTCCTCTTCTTCATTTTCATCCATTTATTCTATTGATGTTTAACATCTTACATAATATCATTTCCCTTTTTAGAGCTAGAAGTATCTATAGCTTTCTTTCTCATTGATGTATTGATGTTTGCATCCTAGTGTAGAAAGCAGGCTCATTAGCTCCAGTAGCATCAACAACAACTCCCGTATTCAAATTATCATTGTAAAAAACTAACTTATACTCCGCAATTATCAACTTCTTTAATTAATCACTCATTGGAATCATCAATATCGTTTGAAATAATAGAACCAATTACATCATTGCTACAATCTAATAAATTTTGGTTGTACTTTTTATAAACCAAATCTTGCAACTTTTATCTTTCTAATTTGTTTCTTTTATTGGAATGAATCTAAAAATTTAATTAAGATTTAAGATAAATGTTCCTTTTTTTTTCGTTTATATTATTATAATAAAAAAAGTATATTTTATAAGTTAAAATTATATTTCAATTGTTTTTGTATTAAAAAATAATCCTACGCCACCATTGCATAAACGCGGAATTGCAAAGCAGCCGTAGCAGCAGAGTACCGCTCTGCTACGCTATGCCGCTATTGCGGCGATATAGCTTGAGATAGACAACTATAATGCATACCGTGCAAGTGATCCTCCAAAGAGCCGAGAGGCATGAACTCGTAAACCAACATCCTTTGATCGCCCTCGGCGCAAAAGCCGATAAGTTTAACAAGATTAGGGTGGTCGGCCATACTTAAGGTTACGACTTCCACGACGAATTCTCTAACCCCTTGGCATCCATTGCGATCGAGACGTTTGACGGCCACGACCTACATTTCAACAAGATTCAGTAACAAATGTATCGATTTGTCGATAATTAAGGATCAATCAAAGATCATTAAACTGGAATTCGATGTACCTCATCGGTGTCCTGAATACAACCTTTATATACTTTTCCAAACCCTCCCTCCCCGAGGAAATTACTACACTTGAAATTCTGTGTTGCAGCGGCTAATTCGAGAAAGCTAAATGTCCGGGCTTTGCACCCAGCTTCGGAAGGAATACTTCCGTCGTGTAGCCATTTTCCCGGCAGCTTCTCGTCGGATGTCTTTACTAGTACATCATCTTCTTCCACATATTTTCGATGACTAACCTTGGTAGTTTCTAGAAGCACAACAGGTAATGAAAGTTTTATCATAATACAACTGATATTTGTTCGAAACCAATATAGAATTGAATATGAGTTAGGCAGGAAATAGACCAAAGAAACTGCGGAAAATTAGAGAAATATTCGTGACATAGAAGAAATGATTTCCTTCTCAAACTCTACCTACTCATTATATATAATACACATATCCTCAGACAACATAACATACGGCAGCTACGACAAACAAAATTGATGATGCAATAGAAAACCTCAGAAAAAGGTCCCCACCCTTGACTCAAATCTTATCTTACCAATTAAAAAAACACACAATTCGTCACACTGCACTAAAAGCCACCACCGAGTCCTCTAGAAACAATTCGAAATCTAGCTTCCGATGTAACACTAATATGCATGCACAATCATTCACTTTCAAACTTTCAATCACATAACCAAAAACAAAAGCAAAAACAAAAACAAAAAAGCAAGAAAAAATCAATGGAGAATCACTGCCCAACTTTGAAAAAATAAAATAAAAAAATAAAAAATTATGAACTAACAACCAAAATCCTCTACAAACCACCGCAGAAAACTCTTACACCATAAGAGATGAGTCCTTACAGCAGTTGATCTTACACACACCTGGTAGGTCTTTTGAGTGATCGTCTCTCTTACATCCGTTTCCGTTGCCGTCGCCGTCGCCGCCTCTTCTCTTCCTCGATTGCTTTTTGCTAACTGATGACTCGCCGGAGCAAAGAAAACAGCCCATATTTCACTTCCTATAGCTCACCCTCTATGCGAAGATATATACATACAGATATATGTATCTATAGGTCAATCGGTTCGCACAGTCGGGAGAATGATCTCTGCAACAGAAATTATTTTTAGGGAGAAGAGAGGACAGAGAGAAAGTGAGGCTGCTAAATACACATACAACAATGGTTTTTGATTTTTTCAACTTTTCCATTTTTATATATAGGTAAATTCAGACAGTAATTTTTATTTAATTTAAATTTAATTTATTTTAATTTAATTGGAGTTTGAATTGGGTGTATTGGTGTACAGATAAGCCCTGATTCACCAGCCACACGTTTACAGCGACTGCCGCTATTTATTGGCTGAGTTTATTTGACGTAACGGATCGGTGCCGCACCTGAAAACTCTCCCCTCTGTCATTTTCGAGACTCGCTCCGCTCACGCGCCTCGGATGGGGCCATCCGTCACAGACGATTGCTGGCCGTTAGATTAGGGAGTGATTGTGTTTGGTGGGGTCACCTTTCTATCGTCACAGACGGAGACGTCGACCAACACGTTTTGCCTTGGGTGTTTAAATCGGACGGCAGTTATTAATTTTTGTGGGCCCTTCTTGTAGTAGGCTTGTAAGAACAGAGTTGACTTTTTATTCTTCCAATTAGAGTAAGACACGTGTGTTGGTGAGTCAGATACGTCTGTAAGGTAATTACTGCATTTAGATCGAGCATTTAGAGAATATTCGAGATCATGGATGGAAAGTAATTTTATTTGAGTAACAATTTAATATGTATGATTTTTTCAAGTATATTTTGTTTGGTTTTGTTGGGTTATAACTTGAATTTGAATATTTGATCTAAGTTTTTAAAAATTAAAATTTTGATTTGATATTTTATCGAATAAAAAATACTTTTTTCGACTCATAATAAATTTTTCATTTTTTCATTTTAATCTTTCTTGTAACAAAGTATTCCTTTTTTTTTTGTTAGTAATTGTCTAATTTTTACATTTATATCACACAATACTAATAAGGTTATTTTAGTCATTTTTATTTTATTTTTACTATATCTCAATATAATACTAATATTTATAAAACTTCATGCAAAAAGAAAACTGATGCATAATTTTGGGCCGGGCGAAGTATATCTTTATTAAAATGAGTTTGGTATAAAAAATTGATAGTAATAAAGAAATAAAAATATTTTTATTTTTATTATTTATCTGAGCCAAATAAATAAATTTTGATAAATAAATAAATTTTATTTATCTCCCATATATATATAAATGAAGACAAATGAATATTGATAAAAAAATATACTTTCTTTCTCCGATCCTAAAGGTTTCATTTACTTTTTGCGTGTTCATATTTGAATATTAATTATTATTGTAAGCATTAAAAATTATATGTCTAAATAAATTAAATATCATTTATTTTGGAAGAAAATAAAATTCCAATAAATAGATATATAATATTTAATTATGCAATATATGTTAATTTTTGCACAATAAATATCAATCATTAATGCAAAAATCTGCTAAAAATTGGAGATATCGTACAAATATTACGTGCATAAATAGAAGCATAATAAATTTTGTAGCAAAATAAATTAATCATGTCAATAAATGAAGTATATAAATTAATATCTTTCGAAAAAGGCAATGATATAAAGATCCTGACAAGAAAGGAACGTGCACAATCAAATTCGTCAAAAATGGAAAACGGCATCTGATGGAAAAGAAAATATTATAAAATTTTCCTATTGACCAATCAAAGTGCGCCACGTGGCATCATTCTAAAAGGAAGCCAAGGCCACCCTCCCTATAAATAGGAGTCATGACCAATTCATTTGACACACCGAAGTTACATCGATGATTCAAGCAAAGGGATAAGTCTCTAGACTCTCTCTGTATTGTTCTTCATGTTCTTCGTGTCCTTCAAAGCGTTTTTCGTCGAAAAGTCATCGATTTGGACAAATGATCCAATATTGGTTGACGAATCGATAAAGTTAACGTTCTTCGTCGTATGTCTAAGCCGAAGGAAGGATTAAAGTTCCCAAAGCCGTTGGGGAATTCGTCAAAGCCAAGGGAAGGTCTCCAAAATTCTTCTCAAAGCTTCAAGATATCCATCGCGTTCTTCAACAAAGCATTAACTAGGCCCTCTTTGATACAAAAGTCAAAGGGACACGCCGCCAAAAACGTTATGGAACATCAAATCCACCTCTTCAAGGATCAAAGCTCCAAAAGCCGTTGAAGAATCTATCAAAGTCAAGGAAGAACATCCAAAGTTCATCCTAAAGCTTCAAGGTGTTAATCGCAAAGCATCAACACAGTCCTTTTCGATTCAAAAGTCAACGGAACACACCACCAAAAGTGTTATAGATTACCAAATCCACCTCTTCAAGGATCAAAACTCCAAAAGTCGTTGAAGAATCCATCAAAGCCAAGGAAGAGCATCTGAAGTTCATCCCAAAGCTTCAAGGTGTTCATCGCGTTTTTCACCAAAACATCAACCCGGCCCTCTTCGATCCAAAAGTCAAAGGAACATGCCACCAAAAGTGTTATGAAACACCAAATCCATCTCCTCAAAGATCAAAGCCGCGGATCGTCCAAAGAAGACATCAAATCCAAAGCCGACGATCGAATCGCCCACACGAAGACCAAAGCACTTCAAAAGGTGGTAAAGTCAAATCAAAGATCAAAGTCATGGATCGTCCAAAGAGGACACCAAATCGAAAGCCGACAATCAAATTGCCCACACGGAGACCAAAGTCCTCCGAAAACGGCAAAGCCAAATCAAATATCAAAGCCACCGATCGTCCAAAAAAGACATTAAATCCAAAGCCGACGATCGAATCGCCTGCACGGAGACCAAAGCCCTCCAAAATGCGGCAAAGTCAAAGCAAAGATCAAAGTCTCGGATTGTCTAAAGAAGACATCAAATCCAAAGCCGACGATCAAATCGCCTCCCACGGAGACCAAAGCCTTCCAAAAGGCGGCAAAGTCAAACCAAAGATCAAAGCCTCAAATCGTCCAAAGAAGATATCAAATCCAAAGTTGATGATCATATCACCCACACGGAGACCAAAGCCCTCCAAAAGGCGGCAAAGCCAAACCAAAGATCAAAGCCGCGGATCGTCAAAAGAAGACATCAAGTCCAAAGCCGATGATCAAATCGCCCACACGGAGACCAAAGCTCTCCAAAAGGCGGCAAAGCCAAATTAAAGATCAAAGCCTCGGATCGTCCAAAGAGGACATCAAATCCAAAGCTGACGATCAAATCGCCCACACGGAGACCAAAGCTCTCCAAAAGGCGGCAAAGCCAAATTAAAGATCAAAGCCTCGGATCGTCCAAAGAGGACATCAAATCCAAAGCTGACGATCAAATCGCCTGCACGGAGATTAAAGTCCTCCAAAGTTAATCTCTTCGAATCAAAGAAGTCATAAAAAACCAAATTGGAAAATAAATCGACCAAGAAAGAGAATCAAATGATCCATTTAGATAATATAACCCACATTAAATTCAAATTAAATATAATTTGTACAACTTTTGTGTTTATTAAAAATAACACAATTTTTTGTCTACGTTTATTTCAAAACATACTACAAATTAAGAAAAAATTAAAAAATACTTCAATTAGTGTCTTATAATACTAATAGAATAAAATTTGTACAAAAAATTATACATATATAAGGATATTTTTAATGTTAAGTACAATGACGCAAAAGGTAAATGTGACTCTTAAAAGCTGACGGAGGGAGTATATATATATATATTTTTTACTATTTAATTTTTATAGTTTTATAAAATTGTATTATTTCAATTTTACAAAATATCACATTTAATTTATTATTTCAAGTATTTTAAGTTTTATGACTTGAAAAAAATTAAATAAAATCTGATATTATAAAATATCGTATATAATTTATTATTAAAAAAAGTCACCAAAAATATCTTTTTAATGAATTCTCACTCGTTAGAATTATTTCTTATTCGATTAATCATTTATTTTTTATCGATCCATCCAGATAGTTGTATGTTTTTTATATTTTTTAACTAAATTCTCTATTTTACCAAACAAAAGCATTAATTATCTGCTACTGAAATTTTTTTCTCAACAAGTTTATTTTTTACTTTCATTTTTCTGTAATTCAATTATCTGTACCAAACATCCGTTCAAGATAATAAAAAGGATTTGTTTATTTTGTGAAATAATTGTAAAATTAATAAATATATATAATAAAAAGAATTTGTTTATTTGTTTATTGTTTTTTTACTATTTAATTTTTGAAGAAATGTATTCGTTTTTTTTAGAAAACAAACCAATCCTAAATAATATAGATTTGTATTTGAAATCATAACCAAATAAATATTTTATTCAGATAATTGTTTCAGTTTTATATCCATATATCTTATTTAATATTTTTATATTATTTATTAATAATATTTTTTTAATATCAAATCAAAATTTTCAAATTTTGCAATGCTTTGGATTTAATATCTTGAACTTTATTGTTTGGATTCTATAATATTTTAAAAATATATATACAGTTTTTTTTATAAAAAATTATATCATATATTATTTAAATATAAAATTCGAACCAATTTTTTTCATTGCAAATGAAAAGAAATATACTTTTAATCTTTATAAAAAAAATTTTAATTCTAAAAATCTTTATTCAAATAAATCTTGGTGTATTTCTTTTTCAAATTTCTCAAATTTTATGATTTGGACTCATAAATATAAAAACTAAAAAGTACATTTTTGTTTTCACAAAATATTTTATTAAATGTTATTTTAATATCAAACTCAAATTAATTTTTTCAAAATCCACCCAAATGAAACACATTCACATTTATTTATAATTTGAAATATAAGTATTCAATAATTGTTTGTGATAAATACTTTCATAAATGTGTATGATTTTTCAAATATGCTAATTTTACATATAAAGATTGTTGAATTTAGATAATTATTTAGGTTTTATTTCCATATACATTTTAAAAAATTATACTATTCATTTATATTAATTTTCTCAAAATATCAAATCAAATATACCAATAGATATATTTTAAGTTTTCAGTATTATTCGTTGATATTATTATTTTTTTTAAAAAAAAGTTACTATCAAATACATAGTACTCCATTCGTCTCAAATCAAAAGGGTCATTTAGA